ATTTCCAGGGTTTTCTTAGCTCTATTTGTAATCACCAGGAGCCTTTGTGTCTCTGTGCCTCTGGGAAGAAGGGAGATGACTGTATTTGCAGATTGATCCTGCTCCTCTGTTTGAAAGCAGTTGTGCAGACCTGCAGAAGGGCAGTGTCCTGTGTGCCTCCTGGTAATCTTCTGTTTGTCCACAGCTGATTCTTCTCTTACACACAGCGTGAAGTTCAGATTCAAACCTCCTCTTTGCCTGTCAGTGTAGCTGCAGTCGTGGGATGAGGAGAAGGGGGGACTGCTGGCCACAGGATGTTCCCCAGGTGTCTGACTGACACTGGTCTGTGTGCACTTCAGCAAGTCAGCAACAGTGGGTGCTCATTCCAGACCTGGGCACCCTGTTGCTCAGAGGAAGAAGATTTCAGGTCAGCTAAATTCCCTCCCCTTTCTCTGCCGGGCTGCACACCACTTAGCACATCATGCTGCTCTTGGCCATAGGTGCCAGTGTCATTGAGATGACATTGTGTTTGAACGGGGATGTTGTCTCGCCACTGATTGCAGGCTCTGTCCTGAGTGCCCCTCTTCAATCAGACATCCCAATTTCCACGTCTATCTTTAGAATAGTTACCTTAACTGTTATTGCCCATCAAACTTTGGCTTCAGCTTGAGAGGCTGTGAGTGTTTGGAGGTCTCTGTGCCATGGGTTCAGCTGAAGGCTGCTTGAGTTGTGTTCCTTGATGTCTTTCAGCCTTTGATTGTTCTCCACTGTTGCCCTAAGCTCAGAGAGGGGAGCTCTGTGAATGATTTGTGCTTGTACAAACAGCAGCAAGGTGCTGTGGTGCTTCATCACCGCTGGCTGTCCTGATGAAGGGTGACTGCACAGATACTCAGCCTCAACTCGTTTGCAGACAATTCCTATACTGCTCCCTTGATCCTTAGATGAGAGCAAGGATTAGCTTATTGTTACTGGTTCCAGTTGGCTGTAAAGCCAGAGCAGGTGGGCTCTCTGGGATAACTGTGTGCTCTCCTGGGACAGCCGATCAGAATCCAGATGAGGCTTCAGGTGGATCTATTGGAGTGGCACAGTACCCACAGCGTGGGCTTTGAGTGAGGACGTGGAAGAGTGGCATGTTCCCAGTACCAAGAGGCATTAATGAAACATGTTCCTCGTATTGACTTGTTCTGAACTGTCACCTATGGCTACAGCAGCTGCCTTCACAGGGCTGTGCAGCATGTACTGATGTGCATCTAGTAAAATCTGTTCAGCCTGGAGAAGGGAAGGCTTTGAGGAGACCTTAGAACAGCTCTAGTGCCTAAAGGGGCTACAGGAAACCTGCAGAGGGGCTTTGGGCAAGGGCCTGTAGGGACAGGACAAGGGGAATGGCTTTAGCCTGCCAGAGGGGAGACTGAGATGAGCTCTTAGGCAGAAGCTCTTCCCTGTGAGGGTGCTGAGGCGCTGGCACAGGGTGCCCAGAGAAGCTGTGGCTGCCCCATCCCTGGCAGTGTTCAAGGCCAGGTTGGACACAGGAGCGCAGGAGCAAGGTGCTCTAGTGGAAGGTGTCCCTGCCTGTGGCAGGGGTTGGAACTGGATGAACTTTAAGGTCCCTTCCAACCCAAAGCAGTCTGGGATTCTGTGATTATTGAGGAAAAATCCCACTCTGCACAAAGGGAATTTGTGGATCTCCCATAGCAGTTCTGGTGCTGCAGCTCTATGTGAGTGCTGCTGGATCCCAAAAACATGACTTTAAATCAGAACAAATGCTCCCCATGCAGGTGTGGTCATGGTTACCCCCATTTCTGCTTTACAGACTGAAGGGTCTCTTCTAAAAATCCCTTGCACTCACTAACAGTTGGGCTGCAAATCCTTTTGTGCCCTGTGCGTGCATCTGCCTCGTAGCGAGATGTCAGCCCGCGCAGGCTTCTCCCCAGGAGCTTCAAACCCCCGTGTTTCACATGTTGGCTTCTCCTGCCTACCTGGGACCTAAGCAAGCTGCTAATTGTTGTGCAGATGTCATCTTCCAGGCAGGCATGAGGTTGTAGGCTTTAAAAAAGCTGAACTGTCATTTGCTACCAGCCTTCTCAGTACACGTGAGCTCTATTTTTACGGGATTGTGCGTTTTCTTTCAGCCACTGCTTTGCTGAATTCCTTTTTCTTCTTTTTTCTTTTCATTTCCAGGCTTGCAGGTAAAGTTTTAGGGATACATCTATTTTTCATCATCCTACTTTTGCTACTTGTTTTATAACTGAAAAGAAACTAAACCCAAAAAACTCTCCTGTGTTTAAGTAGCAGTTTGCTCTTAGGTGAGTTGAGGGGGAGCTGTGCGTTGTGATCAGTCTGAGATTGGGCTCCTGACTGTGCCATTGGCCAGAAGGGCACGTAGATCTTGTGGGAGCTGATGGAGTTTGAGCCCCTGAATTCTGTTGTGGAATTTCCAGCTCAGGAGCTTGGGTGTTGGTTGTAGCCTGGTTGTGCTTGGCAGTGCCCCAGGAAAGATGGAGGCTTCAGCTGCAGGGTTTCTTTGCTGTCTTCTGGAAGTAGTCCAGAGGAGGCCATGGAGATGCTGTGAGGGCTGGAGCAGCTCTGCTCTGGAGCCAGGCTGAGAGAGCTGGGCTGGGTCAGCCTGGACAAGAGAAGGCTCCTGAAGGGGAGACCTTAGAGCAGTTCCAGTGCCTTAAGGGGCTGCAGGAGACCTGGAGAGGGGCTTTGGACAAGGGCCTGTAGGGACAGGCCAAGGGGAATGGCTTTAACCTGCCAGAGGGGAGACTGAGATGAGCTCTTAGGCAGAAGCTCTTCCCTGTGAGGGTGCTGAGGCGCTGGCACAGGGTGCCCAGAGAAACTGTGGCTGCCCCATCCCTGGCAGTGTTCAAGGCCAGGTTGGACACGGGCTTGGAGCAAGCTGCTCTAGAGGAAGGCATCTCTGCCCATGGCAGGGGTTGGAGCTGGATGAGCTTTAAGGTCTCTTCCAATCCAAACCATTCTATGATTCTTTGATAGCGAGCGCCAGGTCAGAAATGCAGGGTGGCACTTTCATGCAGTGTGAATTAAGGAGGGGATCTCATTGCTGAGGATTCTGTAGGTGTCAGATGCTTCAAAAGCAATTATTGGGAATACCAAAAATCTCCTTGATCTGGATTGAGCTCAAAGACGGAGGCTGCTGTTCCGGAAGACCCTGGGTTGGGAGGTTTTGGAAGATGCAGAAGTGCATCAGATGTGTTGCTATTTGTGCTCCCTGTTCTGCTTTGCTTTTGGGTAAAGCAAAACCAAGCAGAAAGACAAAGAAGTGACAGAGTGGGGAGACAGATAGCAATAAAGGGATGGAGGGAGAGGACTCCAGTCCCTGTGTGTCCTTGAAGTCTTTTGTGGGCAGAGGTCCTTTGGTGGCAGGAGCTGGTGTTTGGTGCACGCGTGAGCAAGCTTTCTGTGGAATAGAAGATGATTGCTTCAAGAAAGGAAAAAATCTGTGATATGATCCTGATGGACAACAAAGACAGAAAGAAGGATATTTAGGACTGCATGGGAGGAAATTCTTTAAAACCTGGTTAGGAGTAGGAGCAGACTTGATGGAGGGATGAGTAATGAAGGAGTGTTTGAACGGAACTAATCAGTCCCATCTTCTTTCAAAAGACCTCATTTAGTTTAATTTAGCAGCTTGTAAATTTAGAGCCAATCAAAGGAAATACTTGTCGAGGCTGTGTGCTGGCAGGCTGCTCCACTGCCTAGCCCAGCGTGAGGAGCAGCGAGCTGCAGGCTGGAGGTGGATTGAAAGCCCCGTGTTGTGAGGCAGTGGGGGCACGTGTGAGCGTGGTTACACACAGAGCTGTGCGAATACGAGCACCATGCCAGGAGCAAGACAAGAGCAGGACGCCGCTTTGTTTCCTCATCTCTTGTTCAGTAGGTGCTGTGTGGTCGGTTGAGGGGGCTGTGTGCCATGGGATTGCTTTGTGGTCCATGCAAGCGCAGCCGGAGGTGGCTCCCGAGCTCACAGTTTGGGTGAACCAGTGCTCTGAGCAGTAGAGGAAGGTAGGAACGATCCAGTAGACCTTGTTGACTGCTGCTTGAAATGTTGTTTTCCTAAGGAGAAACCTGCATGTGGGTTTATCACAGGCTCACAGAATGGTTTGTGTTGCAAGTGACCTTAAAGCTCATCCAGTTCCAACCCCTGCCACAGGCAGGGACACCTTCCACTAGAGCAGCTTGCTCCAAGCCCCTGTGTCCAACCTGGCCTTGAGCACTGCCAGGGATGGGGCAGCCACAGCTTCTCTGGGCACCCTGTGCCAGCGCCTCAGCACCCTCCCAGGGAAGAGCTTCTGCCTAAGAGCTCATCTCAGTCTCCCCTCTGGCAGGTTAAAGCCATTCCCCTTGGCCTGTCCCTACAGGCCCTTGTCCAAAGCCCCTCTCCAGGTTTCCTGCAGCCCCTTTAGGCACTGGAGCTGCTCTGAGGTCTCCCCTTCAGGAGCCTTCTCTTGTCCAGGCTGCCCCAGCCCAGCTCTCTCAGCCTGGCTCCAGAGCAGAGCTGCTCCAGCCCTTGCAGCATCTCTGTGGCCTCCTCTGGACTCACTCAAGTTTAGATAAACCCCTGACCTCTAGGGCTGGTAGCTGTATTTAATTTGAATTAATGCAGCTACTTCTGGTCTCAAAATGAAGCACGGGCAGAAAAAGCCTTTGTGGGATTGCACTGATTTTTATTTTCCCCTGTAGCTGTTATCCAGGGTACTAACACAGTGATTTTAATCCACACTTGCAGGTCTCTTCATATTTTCCAGAGACAGACAGCCCCCTGTGGGGTCAGTGTCAGGTACTTTGTCATTACCTGTCATAAACAACATTAGCAGTGAAATCATCAGTTCCTGCTGTCGGCTGCCCCAAGGAGCCCCATGTGCTAACACCTGGAGGTGTTCTGTTTCCTGCAGTGTCGCACCCCTGAACCTGTGCTGTGTTGTATGATGTGATGTATAATGTCACCTGTGAAAATATGGATTACAAACATGGTTGATTTTGTTTTTTCCTTTGCCTTTCAGGCTGGTGGCAATGTCTCGCGGGGCTGGTCTCTCCACTGCTGCCAGAGTCAACCTGCTGCTCTTGGTGGTCTCTGCAGTGTTCTCCTGGTCAAGCCTAAGTGACAGAGTGACTGTAAGTGTTGCTGAGAGCCCTGCTTGCTCTAAGGGCTGTCCAGCTACCAGAGTCTCTTGTGGGGTGATGGCCTTGCCTGATCCCTCTGTGGCCCTGAGCATGGTGTTGCAGTGGTTGGTGAACCCCTCTCCTTCACAGCAGATCTTCAATACCAACACTTCAGAAGGGCTTCTTTCTGCTTGCTTCACCCCAGGCGACTCAGAATATGCTCAATCCAGAGGGTTTGCAACAGGAGCAGTGCACCTCAGGCAGCTGCCTTGTTTGCTGGATGTCCCTTTTTGTCTTTGGAGTTATCACGTGTTCCCCTGTGGCAGGAAGCAAAGCTAACAATGCAGTGTAGTGGCAAGAAGAAGGATGGAGGTGATCTCAATTAGGTTCCTAGCTGTGCTTCTGAGTCACTGCAAGTGAGTCAGGCTTAGAAGAGCATCCTCACAGGTCCTTGTGTCCCACGTGTGTGGATTTTGCTACTTGTGTTATTTTGAAGCTGCAGTTGAGGTGAGCAGATGCTGTCTGCCCCTTTGCATTGTGCAGGACTGCAGAACTGCCCTGGTTTGGAGTCTGCTGCTGAGCCCCAGGTGCCAGTCCCTCTAGATAGGAGATCTGGAAAGCTTCCTTGAGGAAGCGTGGGCAATACCGAGTTCTGGATTTCTAGTTTAATTAATGCTGTGGCTAAAAACAGGGGTTCCCCAGTGACAGTGGCTTAAGGGATCACGACCCTGTGTCCCTGGACACTCGCTTCTGCCTTAGAGCTGGAACTTTCTGGGCTGTTGGTTGTGTGATGCAGTGGTCTGGGGGCTGTGCTATGAACAAATACAAAGAACAGGTTACAGTATAAATACTAGAATCACAGTATCTCAGACTGGTTTGGGTTGGAAGGGACCATAAAGCTCATCCAGTTCCAACCCCTGCCATGGGCAGGGACACCTTCTGCTAGAGCAGCTTGCTCCAAGCCCCTATGTCCAACCTGGCCTTGAACACTGCCAGGGATGGGGCAGCCACGGCTTCTCTGGGCACCCTGTGCCAGTGCCTGAGCACCAGCCAGTGCCTTGGGCCCACCTGGGGTTGTGTAGTAGTGAGGTAATGTATCTTTATTTCAGGAAGGGATGGGAGGAGGCTGGAGATAGAGCCTGGATTGGCAGGCAGGCAGCCTGACACCAAGTGCAGATGGGATTAATGCAATTTTTTCCCTGTGAGAGTGGTGAGGCGCTGGCACTGGTTGGAATTGGATGAACTTTAAGGTCCCTTCCAACCCAAACCATTCTGTGATTCAGTGGGTGATAACTCCTCCTACCATGGCGCTCCATGGTGGTCCCAGCTCTCCTTTATTGCGAACAGGCTGCAGGTTGTCTCAAACACTCCCTGCTGAGGTTTTCAGCTTGTTGCCATTGATTTCAGACTGTTAAGCAAGGAGGCTTTTTGCCTTTAAAGAGATATTGGTTGTTCTTTAGAAAACATCTTTCTTCCTCCTATTTTAATTACAAAATCAAACCGAAAAGGCTTCTACCTCATTTCTCTGTAAGTGAAGAACTGCTTGTGTGTTGTTGCCTGTTTTTTCCAGAAATACAAATGAAAATGGGGTGTTGCAGAGCAACTGTGGGCCAAGCAGTGACAGGAACGTTTAAATGCACCAAGTCACACCCTTTTATCCTTACTGAACATTTAGACCTTGACACTGCTCTTAGGCAGAGCTGGTAAACATCAGCTATCTCCATTACAGGTTTCAATAGATACCACACTCGGAGGCCTATTGGTAAATTTACAATAGCTTGTATAGTGAAGTCCCTCTTGGATAATAATATAGCAGTGTAAATAAGCTAAATAATAACTGCTCTGACTCATTTATTTTTAGTCCTGTTGAGTGTTGGCTCAGAAAACGTTAACATTGATTTTCATCTGCAGAACCTGCCTTTTTATGGCTATGATTGTTACTGAGCTTCCAGCATTTGTCAGGATTTTAACAATTTCAAGCCTCTGATGCACTAAGTGAAGGCAGGAGTTCAGCTCTGTTTTCCCATGCGTTTCCTAAATTTCAATCCCTTTTGACAGCTAAAATAAAAACATTCCATAGGTTTGTCAACCGTCTTCATGCGTTCCCACTGTCGCTGCTAATCGCACGCGTTTTGCTCAGGCTGACATTTCTCTTCCTCAGAAACACTCTCCTAGGCTGGATAATGGATATTTATATGCAAAGCACTCGATTCTGCCAGCAAATGTGCATGCATTTTTTCTGCCTTCACTTCTTCCACTTGGGAAGAACACCTTTAGGAAGGCCTAAAGTTCCCAGTTAACCTCTTCACTGACTTCTTTTTTTCCCCAGTGCAATCATTCTAAAGATTAATACCAAAACACTTCTCCAAGTGAGCTGTAACTCTTATGCTAATTGCCAACAATTAGGAATAATCTTTCCCTATAGGCTGGTGATGTGAAATTATTCAGTGATGGCATTCGTGGCGATACTGGAAGCTGATAATACTCCCTGCAACAGGAATGCAGCTGTCTGGACAATTAGCCTGGACCAGCTTATCTGTGAAAACCAGAATAGCAAAGACCTGCTCCCCAAGCAGTTAAGAGCTGGTGTGAGATAGCATGAGGTCATTACTTACTATTGCTATGCAGTCTCAGTAATTGTATCCGTTGTGGTTTTACATGACTCCCACCAGCTCCCTGGGGAGACATTCCAGTGAGCAGCGAGGTTTCCCTCTCAGCAAGGATTTCTATTCCCTGCTTTTCATGCTCATTTTTTGCCTTTGCCTAATGTTGTACCAGTCATGGTAGCTGATCTGTGTCACACGTCTGCCATTCATAGAATCCCAGACTGGTTTGGGTTGAAGGGACCTTAAAGCTCACCCAGCTCCAACCCCTGCCACGGGCAGGGACCCCTTCCACTAGAGCAGCTTGCTCCAAGCCCCTGTGTCCAACCTGGCCTTGAACACTGCCAGGGATGGGGCAGCCACAGCTTCTCTGGGCACCCTGTGCCAGTGCCTCAGCACCCTCCCAGGGAAGAGCTTCTGCCTAAGAGCTCATCTCAGTCTCCCCTCTGGCAGGTTAAAGCCATTCCCCTTGGCCTGTCCCTACAGGCCCTTGTCCAAAGCCCCTCTCCAGGTTTCTTGTGCTGCTCTCACAGCGTAGGTGGTGATTGAATCACTGCCTCATTGTTTTAAGGCTTGGAGGACACAGGGAATGGGTGGAGGGAAGGATGCTCATGTTCTTATCATGTGGGCAACTCGGTGTGTTTTCCCCATGTCCTAATTTGGAAATAGCTGAACTATTTTAGCTGAAATCTTCTCCAAGCCTGAAATAAGTGCATTTAAGAAAAAAAAAAACAATGCTCGAGGCGTTCCACTCGTGTGGAAAATTTCAGCTGGAAAAGTTAAAAGTTTGACATATTTTTAGGCAAGGGAAAATGGGGTCTTACAACGTTACACAACCCTAAGAATAGCCAGGGCTCCTGACTCTGGCTGAAATATAGGTGAGGTTCTGTGAAACCTTCTTTGAAACCTGCTGCCTGTGCTGGCATCGGGACTCAGCCGCGTTGCTTTGTTCAGCACAACTGTCATGCTGGTTATGCATGTTTAACCTTTAATATACTTGAAATCTAAATTTAACCATGTGGAAAGAATTTTGGATGTGAAAAAAACCCTAAGAAATCTGCTGGCAAGGGAAAAAATTTTGTATTCTCAGCCGGCACTAAATTACCCAGATGCAATTGCTAATGAGCTGAATCTCTTCTATCCAAAAGGAGTTTGCCCTTACAAAAATAGAAGAGAGCGACATAAAAGATGACAGTGGGAAAGAGGCGGTAGCAGAAGATGATGCTGATCCAGAAGACCTGGAAGTGTTTTACCCCACACATCAGTGGCAAACCCTCCGTCCAGGTAACACGCTGAGCATCCCTCTAAACCCCCTCCTGCCAGCACCGACAGGGCCCTGCAGAAACTCCGATGCCTGTTTGTTCCCATGCTGATGATGTCTGTTGCTGCTGTTCTGACAAGGGGTATGGGCCCAGTGACCTGGGACAGGAGACCATCACTGAGCCACTGGCCACAGGAGTGGTGGCTGCAGTGCTTTCAGCTCCCTGGAGCACGTCGAGTGGGCTGCCAGTCACACTGGAGGGGGTGATGTGTCTCTGTCACTAGCTCGGAAGCCCTTTGTACCCTTGTCAAGGGACAGATTTTCTATCATTTCCTGGCACATGGTATCCCAGGGCTACTGTGCTCTGGTGTGGGCTGGGGAATGCTGCTCAGTGGCTATCTGATTAAGAACCGTCCATGTAACACCACACAGCTTTTTAACAATGGGTTTTCTGTTCGTTGGCTGTTTGAAATCCAGCTTTTATCCCTATCTGTACATCCCACCAAAAATATCTCTTCCCTTTTTTTGGGTTGGTGTCTTTTATTAGATGTGTATGGGATATGGATGGTGAGGGAACACCAACTGAGCAGGCTGGCTTCGCTGCAAAAACCCATGTGCTGGGAAGGGCTCTGGAGAGGCTAAGCCCATTTAAACACACCCAGCTGCCTGCGTGCACGCATATTTTGGCAATTAGGATGATCAGTAAGCTTGCCTGCCTCTGGGGTCTTGAACAAGGTATTTAATCCACTTGTGCTATGTGTCCTCATGTATATGCAGGTGTAATACCTTCCCACCTCTGAAGGGTGAACTAAGTAGTAATTAATTTTTCTAAAGAGCTCTGAATGTAAGAGCTTTATCCTGTGCTCAGTATTATCATGGAATGAATAAATATGGGATCATTTGTCTTGAAATTTCTGCCAGATATAGCAGAACCACTTTTCCAAATGTAAATCTTTGTATAACAAATGTCTAGCAAAAGCCCTAAATTTCACAAAGCTGCAGTATATACATATATTCCATTTTTGTACCATTATGTATGGAAGGCGTGTGGTGCCCCTGCTCAGTATTCAGACCGGCAGATCCCCACCCCCCCTATGGAAGCAGAATATGTATATACCTGCAGACATTAAAAACACCATTGCTAGTTTTCATAGGATCCCAGCCTGGTTTGTGTTGGAAGGGACCTTAAAGCTCACCCAGCTCCAACCCCTGCCATGGGCAGGGACACCTTCCACTAGAGCAGCTTGCTCCAAGCCCCTGTGTCCAACCTGGCCTTGAACACTGCCAGGGATGGGGCAGCCACAGCTTCTCTGGGCACCCTGTGCCAGCACCTCAGCACCCTCCCAGGGAAGAGCTTCTGCCTAAGAGCTCATCTCAGTCTCCCCTCTGGCAGGTTAAAGCCATTCCCCTTGGCCTGTCCCTACAGGCCCTTGTCCAAAGCCCCTCTCCAGGTTTCCTGCAGCCCCTTCAGGCACTGGAGCTGCTCTGAGGTCTCCCCTTCAGGAGCCTTCTCTTGTCCAGGCTCACCCAGCCCAGCTCTCTCAGCCTGGCTCCAGAGCAGAGCTGCTCCAGCCCTCGCAGCATCTCCGTGGCCTCCTCTGGCCTCGCTCCAACAGCTCCACATCCCTCTTGTGCTGCTGCCCCAGAGCTGGATCAGGACTTAAGGGGGGTGGGGGTGGGGAGGTGGTGTCTCCCCAGAGCGCAGCAGAGAGGGCAAATCCCCTCCCTCAACTGCTGCTTGTGCTCTTGGTTCAGAGGCGCTTTTCCCTTGCTCGGGTGTCTTGTTCCGTGTGATTTTTGTAGCATTTCCATGTTGGGCATGTCCATGTACAGTGAAAGGCTTGTGGAAGTGGGGAGCTTGTCAGCATTCACATAGAAGAATTCTAGTGTCTCGTGTCGAAGGGTTAAATGCTGGCCTGCCTCATTGTGTAGCTGCTGCAGATCCTCCTTTCAGGTATGTGCGCAGATCTGGGGAGGGACATGTCAGGAAGAGGAGTCTTCCTTGGTCTCCGCCTCCTAGCCTGGGCTTTGGCCTTCTCTTGGTTTCTCTGAAGTGAAATCTTTTGTGTGGTTTGTGGATTTTAGCACGTGGTCCCTGAAGCAAGGCTGGGGAAGCTGCTGCCACCACAAGCCCATCCCTGCGGCCTCTGACCTCGAAGGTTTCCCTGTTGCCAGCACAAAGCGATGCTGGGGAGGGAGCTGACCTGCAGGACAAGGGGAGCACCCACCGTGGCTGTGCAAGGGACGTGTGTGTCGGTCCTTTAGCAGACATGCACGTTGGCAGTGTGGCTCATCCAGTGGCTCTGCCTTTTCTGATGGTTTCTGCTGTGATTTCAGTCACCTGCAGCCGAGCACAGTGCTCAGAAGCTTGTATTGTGCTTCCCACTTCTGCTGGATGCCCCACACTGTCTTCCTTTGTATCTGTGCCGCAAATGGGGCCGGTTTCTCCTGGGGAAGGAAATGTTGTGATTTCAAATGTGGATCTTCAGGTTTGAATTGTGGAAGGGAGCTCAGAGTTGTGTTTCTCCTGTTTCAACTTGTTCCTGTTCTTGGGATTTTTGTGCTTCTGTCCAGTCATGCAGTTGCTCATCTTTTATACATGGATTTCCACTTTTGCTCTGCTGTTTTTCTAGTTCCCTGTTGCTAATTGCATCAAACTGTGTTTCCGCTGAGACTGCAGCAGTGTCATCAACCTGTAACCTGTCAAATCCCTCCACCAAATTCAATTGTTCTTGTATATGTAACACTGCTTTGTGCGGTTGCTCCCTCGCTGCCTACAGTGTGAGCTGGATTTTGATCAAGTGCTCTCTTGCACTTCAAGCATGCTTCAAGCTGCTGGAGGTAGCTGGATGCAGACACAGAGAGACAGTTACCCTAAGAATTCTGTTGCCTGTAATCTGGAAGCAAGGAGCTCAGTTGTCTCTTCTTGCCAGCCAGGAAGCTGATGGGCTGTTGAAAGGTTGGGGAAACTTCACAGAGTCCTTTAACACTTTGTTAGGCATTGCTTTTTTCTCCCTTGGCACTAAATAATGCATCAGGGTTAGACAGAAAGGATACGTGCACCTTGGAAAATCTTCCAGCACCTCTGTTTTACTTATTTGGAACGCAGAAGGCATCTGCAGGGCTTTTCCTTCTGTTCATGGTGGGAGTCCATAGGAACTTTCAGCCTACAAGTGGGATTGCAATGTCCTTTGAATGGATGTTCACACCCATGGTCACATCACTTCTCATGGTCAGGTAACAGCTCTGCCACAGACACAGAATTCGAAGTTGTGCTTCCTCTGATGTCTTCTTCCTTTCTGACTGTGCTTTTGCCAGAGGATGGTCCCCTTTCCAGAGCTGGAAGCTCTGGAGAAGCATGGCAGAGGGGACTTGCTTTGTTGCTGCCTGTGTTAAGCTCTGCTAAGTGTGTGGAGTCTGTCAGCGCACAGAACCACCCAATCACTCTGCAAGGTGATGCATTATGGTTATGGCAACCAAAGGCTGATCCTTAGTCTTTGGAATGGCAGAGAAGAATGGAAGGGTTGGATGGTGTTGACTGTCATAGAATCATATAATCATAGGATGGTTTGGGTTGGAAAGGACCTTATGGTCATCTAGTTATAACCCCCCTGCAATGGGCAGGGATGTCTCACACTAGACCATGTTGCCAAGGCTCTGTCCAACCTGGCCTTGAACACTGCCAGGGATGGAGCATTTACTTCTCTGGGCAACCTCTTCAGTGCCTCACCACTGTCACAGTTCAGAACTTCTTCCATCAATTCGAGTTTTCTTTGGGGTTCTGTTTATAAAAGCATTTCTTCCACAGTTCCAGGTAGCCTCAAATCTGCCTCTCAGCATCCCAGAGCAAATGAATGACTCATTGCCTGGGAATTGGCTACTTTTCTTATTTGGACACCCTGCTTCCCTCTGTTTTGTTTAGCATTCCTGATGATGACTGAAAGTTGAATTGCTCTGGCCAAGTAGTCGTATCACTGACCAGCAAGTTTCCCATCTGGCATTAGGGTGGGAAGTGGTTCCTCTGGGAAGACATTGTGGTGAAGAGAAAGGATCTAAGAGGCAAGGGTTTAACTGGGAAAGAAAAAGGGAGTTAATCATCTCCTCCTCTGCAGGGCCCAGGACTCTGAGGAGCCCGGGCTGCGCAGTGCTGCTGCAGATGGGCTCTGTCCACCCCTGCAGCAGTACTTCCCTGCTCCCCCGTGCAGCAGAGACTCGCTGACAGTTTGAAGTTGGGAATTCGCGTGTCCAGTTTCCAAATCCAGATGGACCAAGCGAGACCCTCACCTGCCCCAGATACCAGAATATTGTCAGTCTGCTCTGCACGCTTTCCGTGAGAGAGGAGCCCACTGTGGGGCATGGAAAGACTTCCTTTGCTCCAGAGCAAAACCTTGCGTTGGTGATTGAAATGATGCAGTGTTGGATCTCTGGTTTGGATCCCGTGTCTCCTGGCCTGTACCTTTTGCTGTGGTTAAACTCCTGGCTTGCAGAGCTCTGTGCTGATACCTGCAGTTACTCTATAGCATTTGTCCTGCTTGGAGTCATTTTCCTAAGTGCCTAATTATATTGCAGTTAAAAAATAAGAAGCCATGGCTGCCACTGTTGATCAAACTGCCAGAGCAGAGTTGATGTGAGCACGCTGTTGTTGCTGCTTCTGTAAAGATGAAACCATCTGAAGTTCAGCGGGGAGCTGATGATACATTGCTTAGCATTTAAATATCCACTGCTCTAGCTTCCACGGAACCTCAGGCGGCTTTCTCTGTCGGTAGCTATCTTTGCTGTTCATGCTTGTCTCAGGTCTTTCCTTGCCTCATTTCCTGCATAAACAAGGTTTTACACATGTGGAAACACAGTTCTGAAAGCAAGAGTTGGCGTTGAGGTCATTTCAGAAGCTGCTTTGAAGGACTTGCTGTGGGTTTGGAAAGAACAGGGGAAGGGATGGGGAGTGGCTCGCTTGTGGGTCTTTGTCTTTCAAGAGATTTCAGTAGCTGGAGGAGCCAGCACTGCGCTAAGCCCAGGAGAGGTT